GCACCGCGAGTATCTTAGTGTCGCTTTTCTGAGTTCAGGAAGTTTTGGGGCCGATTACTATGGAAAATCAATATCCCAGAAGGCAGTTTTTGCTCATTAATATTGCGAAATATGTTGCTTACCGTCTTCTATTGTTGGTTCACAATTTAACTTTCCCCCAATTTTTATACTTTCTTCTGAAAATTCCTGGGTCCAGTGTGCAAATTCGCATGTGTGTACCAAATGCATCAAAATTCTTGCTGAGAGCTGTAACCTCCGCCCACCAAACCAGCATTGCATTTGATGGAGGGAATACTACCATTTAAAATGCTCATCGGTTTTTCACAGTTTTCTTAAAAGACAGTAAAGTCTTTGAAGGGATGCCCGCAACCGTCGCCAAAAAGGTGGTCCTAGCTAAATCAGTCAAAACGGGGCTGCACCAGTCTTGTGCTGGAATGGTAGGACACCCTAGCAGTTACTGATCGATGGTGCACAGACGCTCTAACGAAGTTGATTGACCAAGAAATTCTAATAAATGTGCTCATCTGCTACTCACGTGTGCTCAAAAAGGGTGCGCTTTTTGACCCCATGTGGCAAAAAAGACTCCGGGGAAAAATTGTCCAGTTGAGCTGGTAAGTAATAAATTTTCCACCAAACAGTGCAGACCCTACTCTAACTAAATGTATACATATTTTGTCCAGGCCCAACTGTTTAGCAAGGTAGAGGGATGATTTGTCAGATGATGTCAAATTCGACCTACCTCTCTTTTTCGTCTCAAAAAATTCCTAACTTTAATCGTACGAGGTTTTCACTCATACTGGTAAATGGGAAAGGGCTAATGAGTCATTCGATGGATATGCCGTTTCACTCACTGGATTTTGAATTAAAATATTGGTGGTCCGAAACTCGCGGTGAAAAAACGACACTAAGATATCCGGTACCTAATACATTTCTACGGTCTTTACCTTCGGTCAGACGGCGAAGGACGCGACGCAAGTATGAAGCAAATGCGCCATTGTGGTTAGCCTACGTACCTCAGGCGACGCCAATGCACAGAATAACGATCAGGCGTTCGACTTCAGAGTATAGAGTCTTTTGTGTATTAGTTATTTAAATGTTGTTGTTCAATGTGTATTTTTTTATCGATTATGCCTACAAGGCTATCTTTGGTTTTCCATTGAGCCCTCTCTTGAGCGTTGCGGCACTTTAGTAAAAATTACGTGCAGCGCCCGACGGACGTAAGCAAACCAGCCCTTTTGGCGCTTCGGCTGGGACCGTATGCTGAATGTTGGGGAGGGGATGGAGTCCCCGACGGTGGACGGACCACTTCAACTCGGTCCTTAGAACCGCCACAATTTGGTGCTTACCTCAGAACTAAGCCTTAAAGAGAGGACGGGTCCGTCCCCTCTCCAAGGCTTAGTCCTGGGGTGAGCAAACCAGCCCTTCTGGCGGAGCTGCTGGACCAGCTGCACCACTTGCGTCAGTACTCTCCTATCGTACCAACCGAGTTGAAGTAAACCGTCGACCGCATCGTCCCCTCCCCAACATTCAGCATCCACCGTTTCCAGTCCGGGAAACGCCCAAAAGGGCTGGTTTGTGCTTCACCTCTGGCAGCGCCCAATAAGCAATTCGTTTTTGAAGAGATTGAGAAAGTGATCGGAATACTAACATAAAAGATTCTTTAAAGCCGACGACCGGAAAACGTTGATCAGAATCAAAATTTATTTACTATTCAGAATGTCTGCACAAAGGTGATGTTTAAATTTACCACTGAGAAAGGACCCGTACAACAAACAAGGAATGAGATCAAAGTCCGACATCTCAACAAGAACACGTTGATAATCTCATGTACATAACACCCAACAGTAGACGACAACGAAACGAGAAAGTGCTTGAAAGAAATCTCAGGTCTATAACTTCCACTCTTTGAGTACGTCGTCATAGACGGCGCCGCTAACTTGGGCGATTTCCTGTACAGACTGACCAGTCGCTCACTAGATGAATTGTTCAAATACGTCTGAAATAGTTGATGCTACACTTGTTCTGATTTTTAGTGAGAAAGGAGAGAAACCAAGTCAACGTTCATGAAAAGACAACGTGACATACTTGAATTCCATTCAAAGGAGAAGAGCGGTGGTAGCTTGTAATTGGAGTGTACTCTGCTGGAATAAGTAAAAATTAGACAGAATTTTGAGTTTCTCTAGTGTATTGTGATCAGTCCGAAGAACTGCGATAGCATCAACGGTGTGGTCAATTTCGGGGATACTGTATGACGAGGGTGGCTACCTTCCAGTTATGTGAAACAAGCGTCACATCTCCGCTCCGTGCACGCCCCTGCTAAACAGTCGTGGGAGGCGCATGTATTTTCCCGAAGAGCTCCTTCTTTGTCACAATCGCTTCCTTCAAGGAGGTGATCAGTTATTTGGTCCAGGCAATGAGATGCAAAGCACGAAGGAATAGAGAGAGGTGCGGCGAGCAACCTAAACAATGATTGAGACCAGTGTAACCCCAATCACATGCTGGCGGAATGACGAAAGAGTTGAAGCGGTTCTGAAAAACCTCAGGCGCTAATTTTCGCCGCACTTTGAGAAGCGGAAACAACTTCTAACCCTGTGAGGCAGGCTTTATTTCGTCGCATCGAAAAGATTCATCCAATTGTATTATGCCTTCAACCTTCTTAAAATTTCAAAATGGTGAGTTAGCGAAAAGTGGACATGGACCATCACCCTGTCGCTTGCAGTTTGAGCAAGTAGATTTGAATTACTGTATCGTTAGACGTATACGCATATTTAAGTTTTCCATATGTACAGCATTGGAAGGAGATTTACGGCGCATGAAATCAATAGCGTAACGGATTCTAGAAGAAATAAAGAGTAAGCATGTCGGGCAGTCTATTGAATTCTTACAATTTAGCCATCAAATCGTCCCACACCAATACACGTTGAGAAACTGTGACTTACCTCGCGCCGCTTTTTCTGTGTGAAGCACAGCTTTTCATTTCACTGAGGGTACCCGAGGATGCTGAGTAGATGAGCCGATTACACGAACAGTACACAGGGAAACGAAGGCAACTGAAAAGCAATTATATTTGATTTCACTATTTGTTATCAAATTACCCCGAACCTTGAGAGTAGCGTGAGAATGCTGACGATATCGTTTAGGTAGGAGTAGACAACGTTGAGATCCTCGGATTCTAGACTCGCTCGATCGAACGTTTCCCAAAATGTCAGCACCACCTGAAAGAAAAACATCAATGCCTCCATCCACAGATATTTCGTTCAGCTTTCACAGGTTCAACAGGGGGCGAGGAATGGAATAACGATACTAGTCCCGGGATTTACTACTCCCAAGTTGAGATGTAAATACTTTGATAGCTAAGTCAGTTTAACTTAGTCATTGTTTATACTGGATTTATACACTGGAGGATGTAGACGTGCAAAGTGGCCGCCACTTAAATTCGTGGTACGTTCCACTTATTCCTTGGACGCTTCGCACCGCACAGTACATTTCAACAATCAAATGCCCTTCGGGCTTCTGTGAACTGCTTACATACTCATCCGGGATGAAACACAATGGCCTGTACATTCGGCTAGCACTCCCGCGGGTCCATCCTGCGTTTGGGCACTTTTTCCGAAGATTTTTGCCGACACGACCATCGGGAAGAGGGTTTCGTTGCGATCCTTACCACCACTCATGTTCCCCAAGAGGCCCATCGCGCGGCGAAGGAAGAGACGCAGACGCGGCAAAGGACGAGTCGCAGCGCATACTGTAGCGGTTAGGCGTCAGGTTAAAGAGAGTGTACCATACTACGTCTCATATCGCACAGCACGCGCTGCAACTCGTCTCTTTGCCGCATCTGCGTCTCTTGCTTCGCCGCGCGGTGGGCCTGTTGGGGGACACCCCACCAAAATCACACCTTAGGCCGATGTCAGACTTTGCGAATCGCGCGATTCGCTAGCGTCTGCGGTCGCGTCGCGGCCAGTGAATCACTCAATTGGCTGGTACCGCAACGCGACCGCGGACGCTAGCGAATCGCGCGATTCGCAAAGTCTGACATCGGCCTTAAGAATCTCCCCTGTGACCATTCCCCACGTCATATTCTAACCACCACCTTCGCCATGGCTTCCTTCATTCTTGCCAAAATCGTCGAACAACTCCTCAAAAATGACCCATCTCCCGCTCTACCACCCCTTAAGCTCCCATATATGCCCCCCTATCCGCATTTTTCTCAAAACTCGCCAACTCTACTCAACCCCAAAACTTTCCCTGAATCACAAATGCGACACGTTGGTCAAATAGCGCGAACGGACGGTTGTGCCCGCAAGTCACTGCACCACACTAAATCATTTTCGAAATGCCACTATGTTCTGAACAGAAGTACAGTTCATGGCGCATCCCGCTACGGACTGATCAACGGCGAATGCTGTGTGCTCTTGTCGTCCTTATTCTATTCTTCCTGCGTGGAAGACCCTTTCAGTCTGCGTTTGCAAGCATAAAAACGTCTAAAACTCACTTGTAGTGACTGTGACATGAGATACATCGATACGATACTGATCAGAGCTCTAGTCGCATCCTGAAGCATTTGATTTTTTGTGGAGGGTCGCAAAAGCCCAACGAATTTTTGACCTCCAAATATGCTTACCCTCAAATTACCGCGGTTTGCTCGAGCATTCGGAGTTTTCTGCTTGATCGACGGCTGCTCCGACTCAATGCTCTGTCGCTGGAATTCCCTCTTCAAAGCCTAAACTAATAAATAGTTAATGACGGTATGTTTTAGTTGTCACTTCAGCCTGTTCTCACAGCCACAACACCTCGAAATATCCCCGCAATCAGATACCCTGGCACTCTTTATCGTACTGCCTCATCTTCTCGACGACTTATTTAGATTTTTCTCGAAAGTTGTTCTTTTGGAGAGGAGGAAGTCTATAAATTTGAAAATCTGCCTCTTTGATAACTAGACTAGTAGAACGCCAACATCTGGTCCCTACGACTTTAAGCGACTTATACCCACTGCACAGGCCCCAGCGCTATCCATTTACTCAGCGGTGAGACTTATGA